CTATTCGAATTTTCGAATGTGATGATTAAAATACACCCGTAAATGCACTTTGTAAAGAATATTAAGGACATTTTGATTATAATTAAACGTCTATACTTGAAATTATTTTATAATTGTAAAAGGTGATGAGACAATACAATTGTCAACATTTAATTTAAGGTAGAAGTTCTATATATAAGGGGAGTTTTTTTGGCACTTGTGCTGATTAGGGGGTACGGCTATTTGAGAGGTTTTCCATAAAATTAACTAAATATAGACTAATTTCACTCGAATATTTCCAAAACACGTATAATGTTTTGGGAATAACCCATATAAAATATGTTATAAACAAAAAATTGTCGGAATACTTACCAAGTGTAGCCCATTCGAAGACACCATTGCTTAAGCTTGTTTTCGTCGCGGAACGGCACATTCTTCGTATGCGTCCACTTTCACTCGGGACATTCCAATTTTCAACACGGGTGTTGAGTCAACAATTTGACGTCATCAACGACGTTCCAACTCGAGTACAAAGTGCTTAGTTCCCATAATTCCATTCTCAGCAAGATGGATTCCATTCAAATGTCTCACCAATTACCCACAATTCATTGGAAAGTAGCAGTCAACATGTCTGTTGAGTGCTGAGTGTGTTGAGACAGCGCTGACAACAGCGCCACTTCAACATTGAAAAAAGGAACGACTTTTAACGAATGTTGAGATCAGCGCTGAGGCAGCATTGAAAATTGGAATGTCCCGAATGTGTCGGTGCTATTCAGTCACGTGACTACTCATCTCTGATGTGTTCCTGATAACTTATTCTTTTTGCGAAGAATTAGCTGAACTTTAGAGACATCATTAACAGAAATATTAAAACTTCATTCCATTCTAAATATGGACTAAAATCAATACATAATAACGTATGATAATGCAGTAACTAACTAATAATTCTGTTCTACTTTTAAATGGTCTAATCTCTCATGTCTTAAAGAAATTTGTATGTTATTTATTTACATCAAGACATTAGACATCTTATGTTGCATCTGATTAATATTTATCATCATCATAATATATATCATGATAGAATTATTGTCGTTAGCGAGCGGTTTTTTCTTTGTTGCTTCATATAGTCAATAATAATAATAAGTCGTTTCTAATTACAATAAAACTCTATAGTATATTATGATCTATCACATGATGTCTCTAAAGTTCAGCGAATTCTTCGCAAAAAAGAATAAGTTATCAGGAAATGTTAGAGATGAGTACTCACGTGACTGAATAGCATCGACAAATGTCACGTGACACGCTTCGTGCGCGTTTGCCATCCAATGTGATGCTCCGCAACGAAAACAAGCTTAAGCAATGGTGTCTTCGAATGGGTACACTCGCTAAGTATTCCGACAATTTTTTGTTCATAGCATATTTTATATAGATCATTTCCAACAAATTATATGTGTTTTGGAAATACAGTAGAACCTCGAAAACTCGGCCTAATGTGGACCGAAGGGTGGCCGAGTTTGTGAAAATGCCGAGTTATCGGGAATGGGGTTAAAAAAAATAAGTACGAGTATTTCCTCAGAAAATACTGTACTGTACTTGTACANCATGCCTCTGTATTAAGGGTGGAACGAATAAATGCATTTTTATTGTATTTTTACTATTGTTTTGTGTATTTTCCTGTAATGCATCTCCTAGCGGAAGTTTTTTGAATTAATTTTTTTTTTGTAAAATCCTTTTTCCCACCCTTTGGGTAGTCTGTATGCAAATTTTGGTAGCAATCCGCTTATGGGTATGCAAATACAGCGTGGTCTGAGTAGAGAAATTATAATTACGCACATCCTGTACTGTACATTTGCAGTATATGACATTTACTAGAATTTTTTTTTGTTATTGTAATAGTAGTTACTGTAGTCTGTTACTCTTGAAAATTGTCTTAGTAAACAATAGCGTAACTAATCTAATCTACTACTACAATAATAAAAGTTAATGCATTTCTTGTTACTATAGTAGTATTTTATTACTGTAATACTATACAAGTCGACCTCCCTATAACACTGTTGATAATTCCGTTTTATATGAATTCCGTGTTGTACGAGTCACTTAGATTTTACAAATACGTGAGCCGTTCACAGCCCGGCACACGTATTTGTAAAATCTAAGTGACTCGTACAACATGGAATTTATATAAAACGGAATTATTAACAGTGTTATAGGGGGTCTACTTGTAGTAATAATATATATAATAGAAATTGATAATTAGGAGTGTTGCCTGGTAAAGAGATTTTAATAAAACCAATTATTGGTTTACTTGTTTACGGCAATGAACGCGACACTGGGTAATCTGTTCAGTGTCGCGTTCTGCCAAGGGAAAAACCTCCCGGAATGACTTTTTATGGGAAACTGGCTTTTATTTAGTGTTACAAACGTGAAGGAAGACGGGAAACTCATAAATGAACATGAATTTTTCGACCGGATATGTCAACCCCCGTCTCTCACCACCCGGCCGCCACGTTGTGGGCCTGGACGAACCCATAATGGACTTCGTTAAAGAAGATCATCTTAGTGTACACAGAGCAGAGATTTTAAAAACGCCCTATTTCAAACTTTCTCAATTTTCATCTGAAATAAACAAATTAATAATATAAATACATTTTACGAATTAAATTTGTATTTNTTTAATTACTTAAGGAATTTTTGCCCTGCTAGGGTGTGGCCGAGTTATCCGGAGTGCCGGGTTATCGAGAGCCGAGTTTTCGAGGTTCTACTGTATTCGAGTGAAATTAGTCTAGATTTAGTTAATTTTATGGAAGAAAACCTCTCAAATAGCCGTACTTCCTAATCAGCACAAGTGCCGTTTTTTCCTCAACCTGCAATGGTCCAGAAACGAAGACAAGTGTAAATAACAAAATGAATTTATTACCATAAGTGAGGCACAAACATGGTTACTTCACAACGTAATCACCATGAAGAATGAGGCATTTGTCTGTCTGTGCATGAACTTTGAAATCCCTTCTTTGTAGAATGTTATTGCCAGTGACGTGAGATAGGGCCTTAACATTTTGAAGATTGTCATTAATCTCGATCCTCTGTCCTCCTATGTTTTCAGTTTAGGAAACAGGTGGAAGTCTTCGTGTATTTTTTTGGAACTTTTTAAACGCCCGGCGCCGAGTGACTTCTACGTTTTTCCTGAACTGAAAATGTAGCTAGGAAGGCAGAGGTTTGAGACTGATGACGATCTTCAAAACAACCTTAAGGTCCATCTCTAGTCACTAGCGGCAACATTGTATGAAGAGGGGATTGCAAAGATCGTCCACAGATATGACAAATGCCTCAATCTTTATGGTGATTATGTTGAGAAGTAACCATGTTTGTACCTAACTTTTGGTAATAAATTCATTTTGTTATTTACACTTGTCTTTGTTTCTGGACTATTGGAGGTAGAAATAAAAATCATCCTCATATAACTGGTATTAATGATGTATAAGTCTAGCCCCATAGGAGTTAATTTGTTTATTTACATCATGATTGCATTCATTTGACATTGTTATAAGCAATTCATTTTTTGTCACCAATTATGATTTACTTTAAAAATGGATAATTTTCTTGACATTTCAGAAGCAAATTGCAGATGTCAATGCATCGGAGCAAATCTTTTTAAGAACATTTGGAACCCATTTTATCCAGCTTTGAAATGAAACCAAGTTTTGAGTGATTGTAAACAGTTGAACTAGACAAATTAGAGTATGTTTTTATATTCACGAGTGAGAAAACGTTTCTAAATGGACTGTTGAATTGTCTGTTGACGCTCATGACGTCAGCATTGGTTTACCATTGAGCTTGACAGTCTCAATGACCTGAAAAACGATCAAGTATTCAACAAACTAACATGGCAGTTTCCATGAAACAAGTAAATTTCGCTTATAGAAGCTATTAATTCACTCTTGCTGTAATACCAGATGGATTAATGAATGATCTGTATATAAAACATGTGATTGAATGATTATGTTGGATAAATTGGTCAATATTGAAATATTAAGCTTTTTCAGAAACAAATTACCTCCATGAATTTGTCCAAAATTGATTAGCTTTCTTTACATCTTCCTGATGATATAAATATTCAAAAAATTAAATCATTGAAGAAAGACCCGGTATAGAGGAAAATGATGCAGATAAGGGTTCATTTGAATAATGGATGTGAGTTTCTTTAATTATTTAGCAAAACAGCCGCAATCGTTGCCTTTTAATTAAGTTCGCCATCATGAAAAGCATCCTTTCAACACGAATGATCTGACATCACGTTTATTTTTTCTACGAATCATTCAGTGGAGAACTCACTGGTCATATAAGTATTGAATTTAGAAATGTACAATTAATCTCTTAGCAATTTCTTGTGTTATTTGGTGGTTTTCAATCAGTATCTTTATTTTGTCATCTTCAAGTGGCCTTTCAGAACATGGTGCATTTCCATTATCGAAATTGCCAGAACAAAATTTTGTGAACCAGTTTTGGCACTCGTTCTATCAACACACCACTCAATTTCTTGCTTGAATAGCATTCTTTTCAGTAATAAAAAAGCAAAATATGCAAAAAATGCTGCTTTCGATTTTCCATATTTGACAGGACATAAAAAAAAAACAATTGCACAGAATCAAACAAAAATTTTTACAAATAAACCTTGAAATGTCAGCTGTCAAAATATATAATGACAGTACAGTTTAGAACAGGGGTGTCCAACCTTTTTGTTTCTCTGGGCCACATTGGAAAATGTCATGGAGTTTTGGGCCACAAGTGTATNTAATGGACTTCGTTAAAGAAGATCATCTTAGTGTACACAGAGCAGAGATTTTAAAAACGCCCTATTTCAAACTTTCTCAATTTTCATCTGAAATAAACAAATTAATAATATAAATACATTTTACGAATTAAATTTGTATTTAATCATTTATAAAATTTCATTTTTTAATTACGAAAATTAAAAATGAAATTAAATTCAATTTATGAGAAAAAAAAATGCAAAAATTGTAGAGGGCGTATGTCCAAGCTGACGTTTTTAGGACGTTGTTGTTTGTCGTCTGATTTACTGCCAGGGAAATGGTTTAAGTTTTTACGTATAAAACTTGCCCTTTTTTAACCGTGAGATATTTATTTTTGTGTGTTTAAAGTATTTTATGAATCGAATATAAGGATAGAAGACTAACCATAAAGAATACAGTCGTAAAGATAAGTTTCCGTTTGGACGATCTAAGCCTAACAAGATGGCGTCGGGTGCGACACAAGATGGTAATTCTTTTTTTTCATATTCTATTCGAATGTGATGATTAAAATACACCCGTAAATGCACTTTGTAAAGAATATTAAGGACATTTTGATTATAATTAAACGTCTATACTTGAAATTATTTTATAATTGTAAAAGGTGATGAGACAATACAATTGTCAACATTTAATTTAAGGTAGAAGTTCTATATATAAGGGGAGTTTTTTCCTCAACCTCCAATGGTCCAGAAACGAAGACAAGTGTAAATAACAAAATGAATTTATTACCATAAGTTAGGCACAAACATGGTTACTTTACAATGTAATCACCATGAAGAATGAGGCATTTGTCTGTCTGTGCATGAGCTTTGAAATCCCTCTTCGTAGAATGTTATTCCCAGTGACGTGAGATAGGGCCTTAACGTTTTGAAGATTGTCATTAATCTCGATCCTCTGTCCTCCTAGCTATGTTTTCAGTTTAGGAAAGAGGTGGAAGTCTTTGCGTATCTTTTTGGAACTTTTTAAACACCCGGCGCCGAGCGACTTCTACCTTTTTTCTGAACTGAAAATGTGGCTAGGAAGGCAGAGGTTTGAGACTGATGACGATCTTCAAAACAACCTTAAGGTCCATCTCCAGTCACTAGTGGCAACATTCTATGAAGAGGTGATTGCAAAGATCATCCACAGATATGACAAATGCCTCAATCTTTATGGTGATTATGTTGAGAAGTAACTATGTTTGTACTTAACTTTTGGTAATAAATTTATTTTGTTATTTACACTTGTTTTTGTTTCTGGACTATTGGAGGTAGAAATAAAAATTGTCCTCATATAACTGGTATTAATGATGTATAAGTCTAACCCCATAGGAGTTGATTTGTTTATTTACATCATGATTGCTTTCATTTGACATTGTTATAAGAAAAAGAATCTTCAAATATCAGATTAATATAAAAATATAAAAATAACCACTTAACAAAACCAATTTTGAAATGTTGTTCGGAAGAATAATTTTTCAAATGTCGCAATTTACTGGTCTTCGTTCATATTTATTCTAAAGATGAATCGTTGCTTGAGAAAGGTCCTAGGGAAGGAACGGAAAACGTTTGCAGTTCATTTTACGATTATTTAATATTGGTTATTGGTTTTGTTAAGTGGTTATTTTTATATTTGTTATAAGAAATTCATTTTTTGTCACCAATTATAATTTGCTTTAAAAATGGATAATTTTCTTGATGTTTGAGAAGCAAATTGCAGATGTCAATGCATCGGAGCAAATCTCTTTTTTTAAGAACATTTGGAACCCATTTTATCCAGCTTTGAAATGAAACCAAGTTTTGAGTGATTGTAAATAGTTTAACTAGACAAATTAGAGTATGTTTCTATGTTCAACGGTGAGAAAACATTTCTAAATGGACTGTTGAATTGTCTGTTGAAGCTCATGACGTCAGCATTGGTTTACTATTGAGCTTGAAGGTCTCAATGACCTGAAAAACGATAAGAGTATTCAACAAACTAACATGGCAGTTTCCATGAAACAAGTAAATTTTGCTTATAGAAGCTATTGATTCACTCTTGCTGTAATAGCAGACAGATTAATTAATGAATGATCTGTATATGAAATGTGATTGAATGATTATGTTGGATAATTTGGTCAATATTGAAGTATTAAGCTTTTTCAGAAACAAATTACCTCCATGAATTTGTCCAAAATTGATTAGCTTTCTTTACATCTTCCTGATGATATAAATATTCAAAAAATTAAATTGTTGAAGAAAGACCCAGTATAGAAGAAAATGATGCAGATAAGGGTTCATTTGAATAAAGGATGTGAGTTTCTTTAATTATTTAGCAAAACAGCCGCAATCGTTGCCTTTTAATTAAGTTTGCCATCATGAAAAGCATCCTTTCAACACGAATGATCTGACATCACATTTATTTTTTCTCCGAATTGTTCAGTGGAGAACTCACTGGTCATATAAGTATTGAATTTAGAAACGTACAATTAATCTCTTATCAATTTCTCGTGTTATTTGGTGGTTTCATTCAATCAATATCTTTATTTTGTCGTTTTCATCTTCAACTGGCCTTTCAGAACATGGTGCATCTATATTATCAAAATTTCCAGAACAAAATTTTGTGAACCAGTTTTGGCACTTGTTCTGTCAACACACCACACAATTTCTTGCTTGCTTGAATAGCATTCTTTTCAGTAATAAAAAAGATTTCGATTAAGACAAATGCTGCTTTCGATTTTCCATATTTGATGGGACATAAAAAAAACAACAATTGCACAGAATCAAACAAAAAATTTTACAAATAAACCTTGAAATGTCAGCTGTCAAAATATATAATGACAATACAGTTTAGAATGTAGTTGGCATGTAAAAATACAACTAATCCCTCTGCTAGTAAAAAAAAAAAACAAAATTGATTTGCAAACAACCCAATAACTCATTAAAGTTTTCATGATATATTTTTTTTCTTTTACAAAAACTAATTAGAGATGGCTTGTTAACGTACAGTAGAATTTTGTTCTAATGAATTGCATAACAATAGATTTCTTGGATTAACAGATTTTTTCCCATGTCCCATCAAATCAATATAACTTTACATTTAAACAGATCTGTAACTTGTGGGTTAGAAAAAAGAATCCATTATTCCATCTTTAATCTTAAATGACACTATGGCCATTGACTTTTTCCAGGTGTCAAAAAAAATACATATCAATTGTAAAATTAGTGTTTTTTTAGATTTAGTAAATATTTGGGTGTTTCCAGGAATTTGTAGAGTTTGATGATGCACTTGTTACATCTGGGTTATATACACTTGAAGAATTGTTTGTACAAAGATGTTGACGTGATTGACGAGGAGCCATCTGGCAAACGTTGTCATTGCTTCGAGTATAGAGCCGAAATTTACAAGGTCATTGAGACTTCTGAGTTGTGAAGATTCTACTGATGAGTTTCAGTTGTACTGTACAGTACAGTACACGACATTGCTACTATCAAGTGGTTGTTGTATTCAATAGGCAGAAAATCAGCAGCAAAACAAACCATGATGGACAAGTTTTTTAACAAATCAAAATTTGAGTGAAGTGCTAATGAGTGTATAATTTGCCTCCTTTTGTGTTTATAGTATGTATGGTTTCTGTCAGCTTTGTCATATGCATGTACGGCATAATATACGATTTTTGTAAAATACATGTTTCTATAGAATAGATATCTCAAGAGACTGAATAGTTTCAAGTATGGGTATTTCTTACATGTAGGACAGGGGTTGCAAACTGGTGGTCTGCAGACAACCCATTAAGGCTTCATATTTGGTCTGCAGTCTTGATGATTTTTTTTCTAAAAATTAATGTTTCTAACATCATGCAGGTGTTAAAAGAGAAAAATTCAAACTTTTAACTGTTTACATAAGTCATGAAAGCCTGGCAACAAAAGGGTGGGTCTTTATTAGAGTTGTTTTCTTTTAGTTTATAGTATGTTTTGGTTTACCAAATGAAAATGGCTTGCATGGGATATATATCTATTTGATTAGCCCTTTGCTGCATTTGAGTTTGATCCCTCATATAGGAGGTTAATATAATACTATTACTGCTAAATTGGTAATATTGAATGACTACTGTTAGTTATAAATGGAATGGCTAACCTTCAGATCAAAAGACAACAAAATAACATATACATGCAAAAATAAACTACACTAATTGAAGAGTCCACTTTTATTAATTAAAGACGAAATGATTTTGAGACTGTTTATCTTAGCTTCGTTTTTCATTAGTGTAGCATTTAATTTTGCTTTTATGTTAGATATAAACATAGTTAAATTATAATCTGATTTTTAATAGTCATACATAGATCAAATTCCATGTTTTAATTTTAGTATGAAAATAAGCCAGCTTTAGATATGTTGTTAGCTTTCAATTGAAAATTAACATTTTTTAAACTTATGCACAAAATTGTCTATCTATACACATGCCTATACTTTCTAGCTAGAAAAAGTCAAGATCTTTATTTTCTATCTGCTATTGATCCAGCCATATCTACAGTCAGGGGATGAATAATGGATTATATCAGTTGTGAAATTTCTGAAGGATATATTCAGAGATGACATTCCCTGAATTGATCTTTTTATGATGTAATTATGTAAATTAACTTAGATTTCGTATATAGTCCAGCTCATTCTGCAATAAAGTTTACTCAAATAAATCTTGTTTATAACAACATAGTATTTAGTAGGTAATTGTTGAAACAATGGATATTGTCTGATTACTTATGTTTTAAATAGGAAGGGAAGAATTTCAGTTTTTAAGTCAACACTAAATTAAATTTGGCCTGTCACCTTGTACAGAATTCCAAAGGAGCATCTTTCATTCACACATTCAACAGTTAAAATACTTTATTATTATTATTTTTTTTGTTTATCCAATTATCCATCTCAATAAGCATTTAGAAGCAGTATTACGTAGAATAATCGAGAAAGCAAAGAAATTAATGTTTTTTTCGTTTAAATTAACAGGATGTAATTAATTTAAATCTTCATTTACAGGAAATTTATAAAATGTATTTTGTAGTGTAAATATTTTCATGAAGATTGAGGAATGTAAAAAATAAATGACAGAAGGGAATATATTGAAATTTGGGGGAAAAATTTAAATTATTTAGCTTTATATAGTTAATGAATATTTATTTAATAATTGTGTTTTACTATAATCTGATTAAATATATTTAGAATATCTGTTTTGTTTATATGCAGATGTTAAGCTAATTTTTTTTAATTATGTTTTCCTTAAACATCCATTACATAAAATAATAATTTCAAAGAAATAATTAGAGAATTTTTAAATTTAATTAAAGAATAATTTATTAATGTTTGTATTTTATGATGATGATACTTTATTTGTTGTTTATCTTACAAAATATTTCGTAATCGGCTTTTAAAATTGTTCTTGAATGTGCGTATGTGTAATAGCTGTGCGCTCTGTTATACGGGTTTATCTGGACAAGATAAGAACAGTACAGT